ATACGACATTCAGATTGACACAGTCCACGAGACCTTCTCCCTCGTTTTGGATGAAAAGGGGTTGAGTTTTCGTCCATCATATGCTATTGAAATGAATAGTTTAGGAAATAAGTTGAATGTGAGGAACGATGATAGAAGGGTGAGTAGGAATTACTTATGCTTAATTGATAGATTGGAAGATAGAGAGGGTGTTGAGCCACCGTCAAAAAGAAGGCGAATCAACTTGTCTGCTCGGTGATGGTTATAATTTCACTCACACTAGTCCAACATGTTAGATTAAGCTCATCAACCAAACCAGACGTGCCAGATTACGAAGCCCCAGTCATGCCTTTCCTTGAGGGGTTAAACGTTAATAACCCTAGATTGAGAGGTCAGGACAAGTGGTTTCGTAACTTGACTTACATGCTTACAAGCTCATATCTCAATATCTCAACCATACTTGCTCACGGACTTACGCGATCAGGGCTTTCTCTTGGATCATTAGGACTTGATGATCAGCATCTGACATTAGCCTTTTGATAACTCTGATTTAGGATCGTTATTACGTATATACACACACGCACAGACTCGAGCAAAGGTTGCATGACCAGTATGAAAGATAATTAGCCAAACCACTCTATATTAATTTATCTAGGTTTTATATTTTCTTTTGGCTTAATTGAGTCTGTTTAAGAGGTAAAATAAAGCCGGATATTCTTCTTGCCCTAGTTTTACCGTGAGACTTTTATCAGAATGAGACCTAGCTCTCATGATGTCCATCATATGATGGACGAAAGCTCAGCCCGTTTTCATCTGAAACGAGAGAGCAGGTCTCGTGGACTGCGTCAACTTGAACGGCTGCAGTACAACGCGATTTACTCGTCCTTTTCTGGTGAGATCGACCTACGAATCTCTTCTTCATGAACATTCATACGAAACGAAAGTGCCCCCAACCATGTATACTAACATTCCAGTGCAGAAGGTTATTGAAGTACTAGAACTCAGCCTAGTAAACACCAGAAATTATAGAGAAAACAAATGTGAGCAAAAACTCAATCTTTAGGCTACTTAATTTATTTATGTGTAGCACATAGTTCACCTTCAATGATAAGATTTATGAACAGTGCAAGGCCTAACAATGGGATTTGGTTTGGCTCCCAATATTGGCGAATAATTACATGCCGACAATGGAGGAACGATCATGAAATCGTAACATAAACTGTTAGTTAAATCTATGGATGACTTCTTTGCCATATAGCATAATGGTAAGGATATTTTAGATATTTTCTTATTCCTAGTTAATCAGATTGATTACAATGTTAGATTGCCAATAGAAACGGAGAAGGACAATAATTCACCCATTCTGGTTGTTATACTGATCAGAACTGTCAATAAATTAAGCTTTGATGTATCTGGAAAGCCAACGCATGCTGGCTTTATCCTTAATTTCTACCCAAACCATAGTTATAAAACAAAGCTTGGCATTTTTAAATATATGAACATAAGACTAGCTGATAGAGACCATTGTGATATTTAACTGAAATGGCTCAAATTAATATTTATTGAGAATAAGTTTGATTAAAAAATAACATTAGATTAATAAATAATAGTTTTTGGAATGTTGAATACATATGAAGAGATAAGGATATCTTTTCTTATGTTTTGTCTTTGGCTTCATGCATTCTCTATAATAGAATAGGTGAACTAGTAAGGAAGTGAGGAATAAAAACAGTTTTCAGGGAAACTTTGACAATTTCTTCAGTTATGCCCACTTTTAGAGAAAAAATGGACCCATTATCCAGATTAGGTTGCTACAAAATAATGTGTTCATGTAGTCGCTTGTATGCTGAAAAGACTTGTGGTCCCATTCGACAGAGGATGGCTGAGCACTTAAGAGCCTGTAGTGGTTTTTGGCTTCAAAAAACAGAACTGACGAAGCACAAAGGAAGAATAGGATACGAGCCTGGATGGTTTCAAGCTTCTCGTTTTTCTGTTTTGTCTGTGGCTAAGTGTAAAATTATAGAAGCCATGGAAATAAACTGAATATGGAATATATTGAAAGTAAGTAATACCGGCCAGAAGTTAAGTAAATACTACTTTTGCTTATGCGAAGAAAAGTTGGGTTTT